TTTAAGAAACAACAAAAAACAAAAAAAAAAAAAAAAAAAACTGATTAAACTAAAGAAACACAAAAAAAAAGAAAACAAGAGAATACTTAAAATAGAGAGCATCAGGGGAATGGGAGCAAAAAGGGGGTCATCTGTGATTCTCTCACCAATAAAGATTTTTTTAAAAAAAAGAAAGTTCACCCCTAGCCGGTTAGGCTCAGTAGATAGAGCATCAGACTGCAAAACAGAGAGTCCCCCGGTTCAATTCCTGTCAAGGGCACTGTACCTCAGTTGCAGGCTCCTTCCTGGCCTGGGCCCTGGTCAGGGCGCATGCAGGAGGCAACCAATCAATGTGTTTCTCTCACATCAATATTTCTCTCTGTCATTCCCTCTCTCTCCAATCTCTCTAAAAGTCAATGGAAAAATATCCTCGGGTGAGAATAAAAAAAAAAGAAAAAAAAGGAAGTTTCCTGATGGTCATCTATAAGCAATGGGAAGTCAATGGATACATACTCCAGCCTCCTTCATCATCAGCTGGGAGGACAGTCTGAGGATGTTACCACAAAGTTTCTCAAGATGGAGCCCAGTTGCCCATGACAGTAACTGGCCCATCAACACACCTTAGTATTGGCTTCTCTCCCTTCCATATCTTGCTTTTTCATTTATTTATTCCTATTTCTTGGGATCACCTCCCAAGTAAATTACCTGCATCCCAGTCCTTGTCTCAGGGGCTGTCCTTGGGAGAATTCACTCTAAGACAGGTGTCCTGCAATCCAAACATGAGTAAGAGCAGGCTGCACCCCCTGGGAAATTATGCTTCCACTTCCTGTCTGCATCTGGTCTCAGATAGAAGGAGCTCACCACACGGGATCCTAAGCACATTTATGTTTTTAGGAGCTCTGAGTTCTGTTTGGGTCATTGGGCCTATGTGTGCCAAAAAAGGCAACATGGATTGTTGGTGGCTGGAGAAACAGAATGCTTGGCTTCTGCCTCAGATAGAAAACGCAGCTCAGTTCAAAGCTACTGTGCACATAGGAACCTACACTTCTCCCCCACTCATACTGTTTCATAGTCATGCCCACACATCCTGCGAGGCAATTCCATCACTCTAAGGGCAGGGTCACACCACAGCTAGGAGTCCACATGGGCTATGAGGAGGGGATGACTACTGGGAGGATTCTAGTAGGAGGAGACCCAGCAGGAGATTCTTTGGAAATCTCCTATGGAAGGGTTCAGGGAACATAGGACCACATCTCTGTCTCTTACAGAAACGTGAGACTCTTCTGCTGACCCAGTCCAAGGGGTCAAAGCATTGAATGGCCAGCCCTTGAAGGGATTATTCAGATCTCTAGATAATTAAGCAGTCAAATGATTGGCCAATACAAAGGATGTTTTTCTGAGATAGTGTCCACCACTCAACATATGGATAGGCCCCACTAGGTAGGGAGGACAGGTAGAGGAGTTGGCTACAGACAACCTTTGATTTCTAGCTTTTGTATGAAAGACTGATTTTTGCCTTTATCGGTCAAACAGTCATTCAAAAACCTTGTATTGAGCCCTGGCTGGTATGATTCAGTTGGTTGGCGCATCATCCCATACACCAAAAGGTGGCAGGTTTGCCGAAACCGGTTTGGCTCAGTGGATAGAGCGTCGGCCTGTGGGCTGAAAGGTCCCAGGTTCGATTCCGGTCAAGGGCATGTACCTTGGTTGTGGGCACATCCCCAGTGGGAGATGTGCAGGAGGCAGCTGATCGATGTTTCTAACTCTCTATCTCTCTCCCTTCCTCTCTGTAAAAAATCAACAAAATGTGTTTTGTTTTTTTTAAAAAAAAAAAAAGGTGGCAGGTTTGATTCCAGGTCAGGTCACATAGCCAAGTTGTGGGTTTGATCCCCAGTTGGGGTGCATGTGGGAGGCAACCAATTTATGCTACGTTTCTCTCATATCAATGTTTCTCTCTCTCTCTCTCTCTCTCTCTCTCTCTCTCTCTCTCTCTCTCTCTTTCGTCAATAAAAACAAAACAAAAACCTGTATTGAGCACCACATCCAAGATGAATAAACTCAGCCTCTGCTCCCACTGCAGCTACCATCAGAAAGCTGCTATTCCAAAATTAGTCATAGACATTTCATTTAAAATTAGATATAATTTCTTTCCCAGAAGGTAGAAAAATCTTAAAGGACTTCTGATCATGTGGGTAGGGGCAGAGTTTTCTGAGAAATGGATTGGGGATAATGAAAATGCTTTAAAGGAAGTATAGTACAGGGAGAAGATGAGAGAAAATTGGGGGAGGGAAGATAGAGAGAAAGAGGGACATCCTCTGAAGGCCTAAACAGTGAAGTCTTTCCCTCCTCCTCCCACCCCCATTATGTGCAACAAGGGAACATGTTAGCTGAGAAAGCAACTACTTTAAGTTCCTGGATGCCTGCTGTTTTGGGGTACCCACCTAAACTGCCATTAATAAACCCACACCCCACACCCCCTATGCATTTTGCCTAAAGAGCGGGGGTTTGGGAGTGGTGAGGGGGGAGTAAAACCTTCTGTATCACTAGGCAAATAGGATGATGGACTAGCAAGTGAACCTCCAGCTGGAGATACCAGAAGACCAAAAACTCTGACTTCTATCCCAAGGGGGAGAAGGAACAATCCACTGTGAGAACAGAAGGGCAGGATCCTGTCATATGTATTGTGGAAACTGTGTGGCCAGGTTTCACCTGTCCAGTCCCATGGGGAGACTTTCTCTCTGACTCAGTGGGCAATTGGGCTAGCCGATGCCTCAACAAAATTTTCATAAGATGGGCTGCCCTGAAAATAGCAACGGAACACAGACCTACTCCTTACATCCTTACATTCTCTCTCCCTCTCTTTTTTTCTCTCTCTGCCCTAATTTTCACAAGGACAAAGGACTTGAAGCTGGAGCCACTCCACCCGCTAATCTACAGCCTGTTTGGACTAGTGAATTTCTAGCCAAGCTTCCTAAGCAAACAAAACAGGTTTCCAAACACTGGTCAGGGGAAGGGAAGCCACAAGAAGGGAGGAGAAAGAAAAGGAAGCTCAGCCTTTCTCTCCTCTGTGGAGCCTCCTCCACCCACCAGTGAACATCACCTCTCCCAGTGACCATTGCATTACCATTGTGCATTAGTCACCTGCGAGGTCTGGAGGAAACATTGTTCCTACTACTGAAGGGCTCACGTTCTGGTTGGGAAGGAAAACATTCAAATGAGTAGGAGCCCTAAGAGTGCATGGTGCTGAGAGAAAAGTTGGTACAGGGTACAGGTGAGTATTCCAAAAGAAAGTCTGTCAGCCCTGATCGGTTTGGCTCAGTGGATAGAGCGTCGGCCTGCAGACTGAAGGGTCCCAGGTTTGATTCCGGTCAAGGGCATGTACCTTGGTTGCGGGCACATCCCCAGTAGGGGATGTGCAAGAGGCAGCTGATCGATGTTTCTAACTCTCTATCCCTCCCCCTTCCTCTCTGTAAAAAATCAATAAAATATATTTTTTTTTTAAAAAAAGAAAGTCTGTCAACAAGGTGGGAACGGGAAGGAAGACTTCATTTAAAAAGTGAGTTTTGAGTGTTCCAAGATAAACGGTGCTTTCATAATAAAAAGAACAGCAAGAACACAGGCACTAAGGGTGAACATCATATGGTGCTGCTCTGGAAATGGCTGGAAAATCAAAGTGCCAAGTGGGTCAGGAAAAGGGAAAAGGACAGAAACATGTGCATATCATGTAAGTTGATTTGACTTCAGCAATAGCCCTGGAGAGAGAAGAGGAGGCCTGGTTTAGACAAAGTGAGAAGTGTCAGTAAATCAGAGTTGAGGCCTGCTCCAAATGAGAGCTAGGATGAAGGGGGAGAGGGAAAAGGATCCTGAGGTTCTTGGCTTGAGTGGCAGGGGGGAGAGGCGTTGACAGGCAACGTTGGAGGAAGAATGCATCTCCCACATCTTTCCTTTTGCCATACTCTACCTAGCACATGCCTTCATTCATCTCTCACTTTGGGGACTGTGACAAGTGGGTAACTTCTTGATATGTCTTTACTTCCCCCTTGCTTTGGAGGTTATGGTTTGCCAAGCGGAAGGAACTTGCCTGCAGGCCCTTTCCGTGATGACTTTTGCTTCCCACATAGTCACTGAGCTGTT